TTTCTTTTAGTTATAAGTGTTTGAATATCTTTTGCCTGGTGTGTATAATTTGGAATCCATTTCTTAATATTACCTCTTGGTATTGAAACTTTGGCTGCTTTAATAATGGTGTTTTTGAAAGATATCCAATTTTGTTCCAGATCTTTTATTCTAGTGGGTGCTTTTCTAAAGTCTTCATTGGTGTTTTTCTGGTAAAGATTCCAATTAGCCTTTTTGAAGTTCCAGAATTTTTCTTTAATTGAGCTGGTTTTGGTCTTGGTGCTAATTTTTATCAAAATAGGCAAATGATCACTTCCAATACTTTTTAATATTTGCCATTTGCATTTGTGGAAAATGTCAGGACTGGAGAAACTTATATCAAGTGCTTGTGCAGTATTATAGCTGTAGGAATGGTGGGTGGGATTCCCATCATTTAAGCACATGAAGGCATTGTCGTCAAATATGTTTGAAAGTATTTTGCCTCTTGGGTTTGGCATGGAACATCCCCATAGTTGATGTTTGGCATTAAGGTCACCTACAATAATTGTGTTGTCTGTAAGAAATTGAGCCATTGTTCCATCGTCAATAAGTTTATTGTTTGGTGGGTGATACATATTGAATATGTTGATGGTTTTGTTTTGACTGAGGTAGACTTTGATACCTTGGGCTTCGAGGTCTGATGTGTTTGGAATATTAATGGCTATGTCTTCATAGTACAAATTCTTGATTAAAAATGCAAGGCCACCCCCTTCTTTATTTCTGTCTTTTCTGAGGATATTATAGTTTTTATATTTGAGATTGTACTTTTCATTTAATTTGGTTTCCTGTAAGGCTATAAGTTGTATCTTTTGTTTTTCAGCTATTTCCATTATTTCTTCTAATTTTATTTTTGTTGCTGTTGAGCACAATCCATTTATGTTGCACTGCAAAATTCTCAATTGCTTGGAAGCTGCAAAGTTATCTTTTGTCTGATGGTGACAAAGCTGGGACAGAAACATCACACACTATTTATTTGGTCTTATTACCTTGTGTTTAAGAAGTAATCTTTTTGTCCCCTATCCTATCCTGATGAAAAATAATGAAAATATTTATTTAACAAAAAATTTTCACCTTCTAATGTTAAAACAAATTAGATTATTCTTAGAGATGATCAACTCTCACTTAGACCTAGGTTGACAGAAATATATTCTGTTGTTGTTTCTTGTGTAAATATTGCACGAATTCCATGAGTTCATGCTCCTCGAGCTGTTTGATGATTAGCACCAGCCTCTCCCAAAGGTCCTGTTTAGTGCATCTAATGCAAGCCAAAATGTGTTCTGAAGCTGCAGGTACCAAGTTATATTTTGGGCAAGTTGGGTAGATTTTGTTATTATTTTCCTATCTTCAATGGCTTGAGATGGTCTGTTCTAAATCTTGTTAGTGTTGTTTGGTGCTGTCTGAGGTTTAGAGCTCCTCCTGGGTTCATTCCACTGTACCAGCTATACTTAGAAATATGTTCTAAAGCCCAGATGCACTCTGCACAATCCTTCCTTCCCTGTTACAAAGACTCTCATCCCACCCCCCCAGATGTTAACTCTCTGTGTACCAGCAGTCTGAGACCGGCTTCCTCAAGGAGGAGAATGAGAGACTCAAGATTGAGGTGGAGAGTCTGCGGCAGGAAAAAACTGTAAGTTATTATTATCCTTAATACACGTGGTACAGGCCATGATAATCATGGTTAGTAGTTAACAATTGCTTTTACTGTAAGTACGCCACATGTCTACATATTTAATTAAAAAGGCATATATTGGATCAAAAAATCATTTATTTTACCAATATTTCAGTTGGCTGAACGCCAACCTTTATCAAGGTGTTAAAACATATTTATATTGGTAAAATAAATTATATTTTGATCCAATAAAAGCCTTTTTAATTAAAGATATATTTATGGATTGCTCTATTTTCTAAATGCCTACATATGTGAAAAACAATTAGACTTTTTCACTTTCAAATTTGCAAGAGCCCTGTTTGGTTACTTGCACTCTCTGGTGGGGTTGAACTTTTGCAAAAATCGGGGGCCATTGGAGCATTTTTTTTTAAATTAGAAATTAAGTGCCTAATGTGGGATTCAATTATGGGTCTTAGTGGTCCAATGGTTTAGACCATCCTTCCACCGACCCCCAATAACTGTAGGTAATGCCTGGGGAAACACAACTTTGATAGAATCTAGCCTAAGTTTGGCTTCAAAGTTAATGCTAATAATAAGACACAATTTGGATTAAAGATTATAAACACAAGGTGTAGTTTGAATTATAAATTATAAAACAAGGTAATAAGACCAAATCCAAATAAATAAATAGTGTGTGACGTTTCGGTAACAGCGTTGTTACCATCTTCAGACAAAAGTACTGAATGAGAAATTCTACCACAGTATGTTTTAAATAGTTACTGTTATCAGGTGTGTAAACAAGATAACAGATAAGAAGAAGATATTTATCTGAGAAACACAGAATATTAACAAAGCTGTTACCGAAACGTCATACACCAGGTGTAGTTGTTGTTTCTTATCCCCATGTGTAAAGATTACACAAATTCCATGAGTTCATGCTCCTAGAGCTGTTTTATGATAAGCAGTGGCCTCTCCCAAAGGTCATGTTTATTGCATCTAAATGCAAGACAAAAATAAAGACAAGGTAAAAAGACCAAATCCAAATAAATAAATAGTGTGTGACGTTTCAGGAACAGCGTTGTTACCATCTTCAGAACATTCTTACCACTTAGTATTTTTGTCTGAAGATGGTAACAACGCTGTTACCGAAATGTCACACACTATTTATTTATTTGGAGTTGGTCTTATTGTGTTTATTTTTTGTTGAGTAAGATTGTGTCCAGCTTCTAGAAGAACAATGCTCCCAGCTTCAAGTCGAGTCATCCCAGATGGCTGCAGAGCTCAGGTCTGTTACCAGGAGCCAGGATGGCTACTCCGCCAGGATCCAGGAGCTCACAGAGCAGGTGGGAGAGAGGGGGATGGCCAAGACAAACAGAAGGTGACAGTGATGGCGCAGGTCGGGGTCCTGGAGCGCATGGTCCGACCACAGCCCCCAGTGAGCGAGGATGGCGCAGACAGCAAGAATGGTGTCCGGGAACAATCTCCCACCACAGTCCCTTTCCTGGAGGAACAGGTCCTGGTGCTGCAGTCACAGCTGGAACAGCAGGAAGAACTGGCAGAAATCAGGCTGGCCTCCCTGCAGAACCAACTGGATACCGCCAAGGTAGCTGCTTTGTCCCACCACACAACATTGTAGAGCTATTGCCTCACTTGTTGGAAGATGTAAGGACATCCATCACACTAAGCATACTTCCCACAACACAACATTGCTGCAATTCTTAACCTGAAACCCGAAATCACATCAATGACTGTATTGACTCATCCATTGATGAGCTCTACTCATCCCCAGCAGACACCTTCAACAAGCTCTACAGGCTTGATACCCTGATATAATGGAGTGGAGATAAGAAAGAAGACACTGACATTTTTTTTTTTTTTACAGAGCTATTATCCCACTGTTAATGTGTGGTGTAAGGACAACCATCACACTTACATTCCTTCCACCACACAACACAGCAGCTGTGGGACAGTACATACCTGTGCCTAGATTCTCCTCTAGTCTCAAGACTCCAATGCATACATTGTTTACGCAAAAATACAATTCTTGTGTTTCAGGACGAGTATGAAAGGAAGCTGGCAGAAACTGTGGCCTCCATTCTTCCTATCAGTCCACAAGCTCCTGTTGCTGAGGCCTCAGTTCAGTGTGTCCTCACAGCAGAGGAGGCAGATTTGCGGGTGAAGGTGAGCCACAGCACAAACACCAATACACTAGAACTACCTCCTTGAGAGGGCACTCACAGTATAGGACTTCTCTCTACAAAGGACAGTTTTGTCATCACCAAAATTACTATTTTGCTAATTAGCAACTCTCTGGTGAGAGGACACCACTCAATAAAGAACACTGTTTTGATAAGGCATTATAGATTAGAAACACAAGGTAATAAGACTAAACCCAAATAAATAGTGTGCGACATTTGGTAACAGCGTTGTTACCATCATCAGACAAAAGACTGATGATGGTAACGACGCTGTTCCTGAAACATCACACACTATTTATTTATTTCGATTTGGTCTTATTATCTTGTGACAGTATCCTTTACAGGGAGGTTCTACTGTATCTCTCACTTAAATGGAGGATTGTATTAAATACTGTCGTTGCTGAAGCCTGGTTCAAGCGCCGAGCTCTTCAATTCCCAACACGGAGGTCACTTTGCAACATGATGTGAAATTGTCCTCCCTAAAGGAAACTTTGGCTCTGCAACTAGGTGTTGTTCTTTACAGAGAGGTAGTTCTACTGTAGCAACTTTCTGATATGTGGACACCTCTCACTAAAGGACACTTTGGCTCTGTAACTAAGTCTTTTCATTTAGAGAGAGTTTGTTCTACTGTACCTTCTCAGTAAAATTTTCAGATACAGTAGAACCTCCCTCTAGCGGACACCCCTACACAAAGGACAGTTTTCATTTGCAAAATTACCATTTTTACAATTTAGCAACTCTCCAGTAAGAGGACATCTCCCTAAAGGACACTTTGGCTTTACAATTAGATGTTGTCCTTTACAGGGAGGTTTTACTGTATATTCTGGTCTAAACACTTTGCTAGCGAAACATACCTCTGGAAAATTCTGAAGATTTCACAAATCCTGTGTTGTGGTTTTGATGAGAAATGCCCGCTCAGGACTAACAAGAGTTGAAACCCTGAAACCACGGTACAGAATTCTATTGTTGTGGCTTAGTTTGCAAAGACAGTCAATAGATGGCACTTCGTTTTGGTGTCAATTTTGATGATGGAGGCGACCTTTCTATATCTATGAAACATTCATGTTTATAAGAAACTAGCCGAATGACCCAGGCAACTCCCAGGTTTTACCCGATTAAATGCTTTTATTCAAATACTATTCGTTACAATTATAAATTGGCGCCGTGGATGTCATTCTTGTACCCGGGCCCATTCGAACCCGGGCCGCCCGCGTGGCAGGGGAGCATTTTACCACTGAACCACCGATGCTTATAAGAAATGGCCATATTTGGGTATTTATTCTATTCACAAAAGCAAACTGTGACAGAATTGTTGATTGATTGTTGATTATGACTCTGATACTTGTATATTTTAATGTAACTATTTTAGACACGTACGATTCTTTTTAAAATTAAACAATTTTCTAATGCCCTTACACTACAATGATAAATTAATATTATTGCCCAAAATGTAGCTTGGCACCTGCAGCTTCAGAAAACATATTGGCTTGTATTAGATGTACTAAACAGGACCTTTGGGAGAGGCTGCTGCTTATCATCAAACAGCTCGAGGAGCACAGACTCATGGAATTTGTGTAATATTTACACAAGAGGATAAGAAACAACAACACTGTCTATAAACAGCTCGAGGAGCATGAACTCATGGAATTTGTGTTATCTTTACACAAGGGGATAAGAAACAACAACAAATTGATGAGAGGGCCTGGCTCAGTGGTTTTATCATTGCAGTAAGGGCAGTAGAAAATTATTTAATTTTAAAAAGAATCCTACACATCTAACATAGTGTAAAGTTCTTATAACTGATGTGGGGGTCGGTGGAAGGATGGTTAAACCGTTGGTTTTCGACCGCTACAACCCGGGTTCGATTCCCGCATTGGGCACTTTTTTCTTTTCACTTAAAAAAAATGCTCTAATGGCCCCCGATTCTTGCAAAGTCCAACCCCACCAGCGAGTGCAAGTAACCAAACGGGGCTCTGGCACATTTGTAAGTGTAAAGTCGAACTGCTTTTCACATGTGTAGATATGTGGGGCACTTACAGTAAAAGCAGTCGTCTACTTCTACCCACCATGATTATCATGGCCTGTACCACGTGTACTAGGGATAATAATAAAAAAAAAAAAACAGATGTCGCACTAATCCCTCACATTCCCCACCGTGGGTAATGTCCAGTTGGAGGAGACCCGGCTCCAGCTAGGGACCAGGGAAGAGCTCCATGCCCAGGACCTCAGGAAGATGGAACAGAAGGTATGTGTGATTGACACAGGGAGCATGGTTCAACCCAGAGTGTACCTTACAGGTGGAGCAGCTCCGAGCCAAGTACCAGGCAGAACTACAGCTTCTGTCCCCCCAGGTGGCTCAACTCACCTCCCAACTGGAGACCCAGCAGGTTGGTGACAAATGGTTGGGTAAATAACCAAACACAAGGTAATAAGACCAAATCCAAATAAATAAATAGTGTGTAACATTTTCGGTAACAGCATTGTTACCGAAACATCACACTATTTATTTAGATTTGGTCTTATTACCTTGTGTTTATAATCTCCAAATTGTGCCTTATCAAGGTAACAAGAAAGAAGATGATAATTTATTTTGTTACTTAAGAAATAATAGGTGATTTTTTTTTCTTTGGAAAAAAAGACATTTTTCCACAAAGCATTCTCTTCTTCACTTACTTCTTCTACAGAATTTTTACTTTTATTGCCAGAAAAAAAGTCTTCATTCATAGAAAAACATTGTGGTGTGACTTTTAGAGCCTCTTAGAAACTATAAAATATAGAGGAGGGATAAAGAACAATATGGATTACAGATACAAGAAAATAAGAACTAATCCAAATAAATTATTTTCTTGTATCTATTTTATTTTAGGTAACAGATATTAAGCTTAAATAACATAAAATAAAAAATAGTTTTTTTTTAAATTCTAGTTTACCTTTTAATTATCAATAAAAAAAATAAAAGGGTTCAGGATTTATGGGCCACCCTGTATATATCATAGCATAACATCCCACTTTGGTGACTTGTTCTGATCCAACCTCTGATGAAAGCCTACCTCCAGGAGGGTCCATGTATTTGGATGGCAGGTGTGTGGCAGATAGTCACGGCCCAGCTGGAAGACCAGCTCCGTGACGCCCGCCAGTACCAGGCTCTCTACCGCCGTCAGCACCAGGCATCTGCCCAGCTACTGCTGCGTCTGTCCCGTCTCCAGGATCAGCTGGACTCCCTCACTGACCCGGTCAGTCCCCTCCCCCTCTATTCCATCATCTGGACTGGTCTCCATTCTGTAGAATAATTCCTTGTATTGAAACATCAGGCTTCCACCGATATGTTTCTTTTTAAAAAAAAAAAACATTTCAATTCACAAATCTCTCCAAACTTTATAGCACTCTACAAGAATAAACATGATACAAACACCGTCAAACAACACTAACAAGATTTAGAACAGGCCATCTCAAGCCATTGAAGATAGAAAATAATAACAAAATTTATCCCACTTGCCCAAAATGTAGTTTGGTACCTGCAGCTCCAGAACACATTTTGGCTTGCATTAGATGCACTAAACAGGACCTTTGGGAGAGGCCGCTGCTCATCATAAAACAGCTCGAGGAGCATGAACTCATGGAATTCGTGGTAATCTTTACACAAGGGGATAAGAAACAACAACAACAACATACAAACACAAATTGTATCAAATTACAAAACTATTTTAGACGCGTAATATTCTTTTTAAAAATAATACAATTTCTACTGCCCTTACTGAAATGGAAAAATTAATGGGAGGGCCTGGCTCATCAGTGGTGAACCCTCCCAGTGGTTTCGCCAGTTTAATTTACCATACCGCTGTTATATTGCATTTTTGGAACTTCCTTTTATAGTGATACTGATGCTTTGACTCTTGGAATGGGTATTTTAGATGAACTATGGGCATAAGCTTTTAGGACAGCAGAATTACATATAATTATAAATATATAATTGTATACAAATTGTATCACAAGGTAATAACACCAAATCTAAATAAATAGTGTGTGACATTTCAGTAACAACGCTGTTACTATTTATTTGTGGTGGTGGTGTCTTGTCCATATTTCTCACTGGTTCCCCGGACTGCAGGTCCCAGCGTGTTGGCTCCCTAGGATGCAGTAGCATGGATAGTCAGTTACTGATTTTGTTGCTCCATGGAAAGCGGGGGTGTCATTGCCCTGTTAGTCAGCCACATTTCAGAGTTCCCTGTTCACGGTTACCGTAGCGGCTCGGGGCTCACGGCACCGTACTACAGGGCAGTCCATTACTTGTGCTGCTTCTTCCACCCGCCATGTAGAGGAGGACTTCTTGGCAGGACTATTTATTTGTATTTGGTCTTATTACCTTGTGATACAATTTGTATGTATCATGCTTACTCTTGTACAAGTTCCAGAAAGCTTAGAGATTTGTGAATTAAAATGTCCTTAAAAAAGAAACCCCTATCGCTGGAAACCCGATAATACAGACTGTTGTGGTGATCCAGGAGAAGTCCCTGCTGAAACTTCAGGATTCAGTCAAAGTGCTGGAGCAGAGGTGAGTGCCCCACTGGCTGCTGTGTGAGGGGAGTCAGCTGGGCGGTGCAGAGCCTTGGTGAGGGAGGAGGAGGTGCAGAAACTGGTGGAACATTCCAGACACACCAGCGACACCTTGCATCTGCGGCAGGAACTAGGGCATTGGCGCTCCAAGGTCATTGAAAAGAACCGACAGATCGAAGCCTTTCGCTCCGAGCTGGACACCATCCTTCACTTCCTCAACTATCTCAAGTCCATGGGAGTCCAAGTCCCAGCTTCAACCAGCTGAGTAGGAATAACGTTGTGCCTCTGCACAGAGATATTATGGTTGGACTTATGTCTCACTGCCAAAATCTGGAAGCTTTTAAATGTCCGTCCCATTCATCTGTTTTGTTTGTTCAGCTTGGTGCACATCTCTAAAACATATAAAATCTCTCTTTCTTCAATTTATACCTCTCAAAGTTTCCTCAAAAATTCCATCAAACTTCATCCCAATTTTCCTAACAATCAAACCTCACTTTGTCAGGCCTTGTTTCTGCACTTCATATTTAGTAAATAAATTTTTTGTATATTTTTATTCATTTTGTGTGCCGTTGTAATATTGATTGCCAACCTCAGCTATTGTGACAGAGATGACCGACGGTATACAATAAAAGAATAAATTTGTGAGTTAGTAGAAGAACATTGCTTGATGCATTAAATCCTTAATCTAAACACAAGGTAATAAGACCAAATCCAAATAAATAAATTTGATTTGGTTTTATTTACCTTGTGTTTACAATCTATAATCCAAATTGTGCCTTATCATTAATCTTTAATCTAGATATAAATTTCTGCAGTCATAGAAGCATAGGTTCATAGTTCTTTCATCATTTAGCAAACCACATTATTGACTTATCCATTGATGAGCTCTACTCTTCCCCAGCAGACACCATCAAGCTCTACAAGCTTGATACCTTAATATGATTGAGTGGAGAGAACTAAGAAGATAGTTCTTTCAAAACACCAATGATGGGCCATGAATTCCCTCTTTCAATTTGTAATCATCACAATATAAGGGCTGTATAAATATATTTTAAATATTTATGTTTTAAAAAAAAAAATGCTTAAATTATATTATTAACTAGCGGACGTACCCGGCTTCGCCCGGGTTTTACCCGAGTAAAGGTTTGTCTAACGAATCTCTCGATAAAGTGAACATTTTTTCCCGGTCCCTTGAAAAATACTCGATAAGTTGAATAAAATCAATATTAATTGGTTCCCTTGGTAATTGGATGTTAAAGGAATAGTATCTTGCCTTGGAATTGTATCATTATTCTTGTATGGACGTACCCGGCTTCGCCCGGGTTTTACCCGAGTAAAGGTTTGTCTAACGAATCTCTCGATAAAGTGAACATTTTTTCCCGGTCCCTTGAAAAATACTCGATAAGTTGAATAAAATCAATATTAATTGGTTCCCTCGGTAATTGGAAGTTAAAGGAATAGTATCTTGCCTTGGAATTGTATCATTATTCTTGTCTCAAATGAATTGCTGTGTCATCCTGAATTTTGTCTTTCCTAATTTTCTATATTACAAAATCATCGTATCATCATGATAATATTTAGAGCAGATTGTTGAATTATAACAGATAAATTAGAATATTTATCTTGATTATTTTAAAGCGAAAAGTTATTTCAAAAATTTTATTTGCTAGAAATCTTCCCAGTGTACTATA